CATGTAGTTGCTAGCTGGCTTCCCACCATCCCAGGTGTTTCTACTGTGAGATTTAATCAGAATTAATGGTCGCGCGCCCTAATCAGCTTGTGACGAGCTCGTGGCAATCATCGCTTTGGGATATATCTCGTTGCAAATCAGCCTGATTTGCCACGAGAAAAACTCCAAACACCGATTTAGAATTCGATTTACGATGCAATCTGCGTTCTTGTGTCGCGGTGGAGACCAAAGTTTACCCTGATTTGGTAAATATCATATTTGGACCGAATTTGCTGCCGCAGTGGAGATGCTCTAAGTAAAGACTGACCATCGTCACTTTACTTTTACCTGCGCCGAAGCGTAGAGCCTCGATCCCCCACGCGTCTCTACACTCACCACCGCTTCCGCTACCTGACAACGTCTTCCCTCGTCTCAGCTTGGACTGAGATCGCGCTGTCAGCCCAGATAGTGGGGAGAGGTATTTTATTGTGGAGCAATGGTTGGGTATCGGGTGTATTGTGCTCGGTGTGGGATGAGTTGTGGGTTGGTTTAGATGGACAGTGGATGTTGGTTAGATGGTTGTCGGTGAGGGTGATGCGGAGTTGGACTTGCAGATGTAAGGTTTGTAAAGGGTGAACGGAAGTGAATGCGGAGCGCCAGAAACCCGAAGTCCCCCTTGCAACTCTGCTCCGCAAGCAGCTCGCCAGACCCAGACCCCTTCTGCTTCATTCGCGCATAGCGGCGCACGCGGGCGAGTCGCCGAAGCCGCGCCGCACGCCCAGCCGCGGCGCGCCCTGCGAGAGGCAGAGCGGCATGGCGCGGAGAAAGGCGAGGAGGAAGGCGGGTGAGGGCATGGCGGCGAGCTGTACGGGGCGGGGCGGGGAGGAGCTGGGGAATGTAGACGCGGCAAAATGGCGGGTTCAAAATCGCGTGACCGCGCGTCACTGTATGTCACCGTAGTGGGCACTGGGCGGCCTCTGATTGGCGCCCGACGGCAACGATTTGACGCCGTGAGGGGTGCGGGGAACCGTTCCTGTGCAGTGCACAGTGCACAGCGTGCACACGCTTCTGTAAGCGACTTCGCATTTTGGGGACTACAGTACAGCGCTCACTCGTTCCTTGGTGTCTCTTGAGAGATCCTGTGTAAATTTATTTCAATAGGTAGGGATGGCCGATGTTATATCATAGGACAGGCTTCACACTTGGGTAGGGCACGATAAGGCCGGCACATGATAAGGCATGCGGGCGAGCGTGGCGGAGGCAACGCTTGACCAAATGGCGTAACTGAGGCGCTGAGACATTCGGGACTTGGCGGTACCAAGCGTTGTCCCTGTGCGGATGGCTATTTGATGAGAGAGGGACTCGAGTACAGCTGAAGTGCGGGCGCTGGGGGCGCCCAGAGTGTAGAACGCTAAGGGGACGAAGTACCAGTCCAACGGGGGGAGCACAGCGTCGGATTGCAAATGTAGGGCAGAGCGGAGAAGGCGAGCGTGCGTGTGAAGTTTGTCCGCATCCGCCACTTCTGCAGCCCCGGCCACGCGTCGAGCGGCCGGGATGAGGGCTCCTGCGCGATATGGGCTGCGTACAGTGACGTCGTAGGCGGTGGGCCGGTCTGGAAGAGAGCCCGCAGGAGGCGGGGAAGGTTGGACGAGGATGTCGGCTGGACGGTGAGCAGTGCCGGGGATCAGGAAGGGCACTTCGAGATCACAACGCAGTCCGGCGGCGCGAGACGCATGTCGCGCAAGAGCGTTGCGCACGGTGTTGTGGCGATACACAACACCGAAGCCGTGCCGACATATAGCAGCATGGTCCCCGCGGGTGTCCATGCGATGATGACAGTGTGAGCACACAAGGGGGGTGATGGAGTCGCTGTAGACCGTTGTATCTAAATGAAGACGTAGCATTACGGACCACGCCTCGTTAGAAACGTGGGACGTCAGGGCAGGGTGGGCGCAAAGGAATGCAGCGGCTCCGGGAGCGGAGAGAGAGTTGTACCGCGCTCGACGGCGCACAGAGGCGGCGGTGTGGTCAGAGGGGGAGGGTAGCCGGTCCCATGCGGACTTTTCCCAGTAAATGCGAGCGAACGCCTCATGAAGCGCCTGAAATAGTGTGTAATGTACGCGTTCAGGTCGGTCCAGCAGGGCGTCAGGCTCAAACGGTCCAAGTGATGAATGCGTGCTCACCACACCCCTGGTATGCGATTCGGGGTGGGTAAACGCGAGGATGCCCACAAGGTACCGGCGGGACATACTGCGGTATTGCGAGACGGAAGAATGCGCGGGACCTTGGATACGAACAGAGGCAGATTCGAGGAGGCTTGCTGCATACGATGCGTGCACAAATGGGGTGAGAGGTGTAAACCCATGGCCCCCCATACGAAAGTGGAATCCTATTTGCATCGAAAAGGAGGGGGAGAGCGGTATGTCATTAAACCGCGAGTACGTAGCCTGCTATCATTCGTCAAAGCTTACAGCAAGTGGGAGGGACATAGCGGGAGGTGTCAAGCGAAACACATGCTCCACCTTGCAAACTGAACCTGTCACGCGGTGTAGGTGAAACCGTACGCGTGCATCAGGCACATCATCTAGGAGCTTGAGTGAGTCTGACACCGACGAGATTTTTTGGCGTAAGAATTTCTTAATGTATGAATCAGTTCCAAGGGGAGCACGGAGGAGAGCAATCCCATCGTCTTGTGTGACATCCAATGGGAACGATTGGGTCATATTTTGTAGAAGAGCGGGGATCATGGAGGGCCAATATGCACGACATTTCGAGACGTTCATGAGATCAGGGAATCCTGTCGATACACGTGGGAACACGTTTCCACGACTGCGAGGTGTCGGGGAAGTCCAGCTGCCCACCTCGCACATTTGCCTCGAAGAGAAACGATGTCGTTGCAATTACAGACCCTCTTCGCGGGTCTGTCGCCGTACTGTAATGGGTAAAAACAAGACGGTATCACTGATACCCTCTTGTTTTTATCCATTAGAGCATCCCCACCGCGTCGATGCTATTGCCGGATAGAAATGAAACGTGTACGCTGACTATTCGCCGGTTGCACGAATAGATTTTTGTGGCGAATCGTCAATCTATTCGTGTGGATTCCATTCGCGTCAACCCCAACGCATATTTGTAACTCTATCGCTGCATGCCCGCGCGTACAGCGGCGAGACGCCACAAATCGTAGTGGAATCAGTGAGATGGTGTTTACGGATGAGCCTGCTGTTCAGTCTGTGTGTGTTGATAAAATACGTTGCGGTGCAAATAACATTATGCCTATTATCGGCGGTACCACGGATACTTGGGTGCAAAGGGTGGCAGAGAGGTATCATGAGGTATCAAATGACGTCGAACACCATCGTTTGAAGGTTGATCTCATTCATCATCTCTGGAACCGCCGAGGTAATGACTAAGCCCTTTTCCGTATCCATGGTCCCACCATGCCATCCCATAGTATGATGAGATGAGCTTGCCCATACAATTTGGTTCCTCATAGGCTCATACCAATTAATATCAAATCGTCGCCCCCCTGCTTACTTCCGCCAACAGCAGCAGCGCCAACGCGAACAGCAACAAATTTTCCGGCGACAGATGCTCAACCAGCACCATGCCCTCCCCGACACTCACGACATGCCCCGCTTCAACACTCTCCAACCCCACCCGATGACCCCTATCGTCAGGTCCACACCGACCACCTACGCCTTTTCAGATACCAAATTCCCTCCCCCGCCACCATCACCAACAACCACAACACCCCCCCAGCAACCGTTCCGATCCACCCTATCCCTCACCAGCTCCACCATGTTATGTAGCACTCGCCACCAGCCCACCTCTCACACCAACACCTCCGCCCGATCCATTGCGACCATCCCCATTACGTCCCGCATCACCAGCCCCTCTATCCCTTTTTGACTGACGCACGACTGCGCCCCCACCACATCAACCCTCAAGTATGCCACACGCTCACCATCCTCCTCTCCCCTCCCAACCCGCCCACTACCTCCCGCCGCACGACTAGACTTCTATGCATACGGACCCCCAGGCCATTTACCTACCGTGGCTTGCCGCCCGCATTGTGGAGTCGTACCAAGCCATGAAAGGGTTAAATACGACAAGCCAAGAATTCGTTCACAACAAGCATTCTTCTTCTTTCAAGATACACTGGAAGGGATTTTCCTCATCATGCAACGCATGCACGGCTTTTTGAGCAAAGGTGCGCTTCCGCATTCGTGGTTCTGTGCGCCAGGAAGTACCGAATCGTTCGAGAATGGTATCTCAGCATCCGCCAGTGTCCTAATTCGATGAGTTTGCAGCGCTAACCTCCTGGATGGGAGTAGAAAGCTCCATTCAATAATAACTTTTGGACTTAAGTTGTACCGGCACTACTTAAGGCAGCTGAGAGGATCTCATTCCTAAGGACCACTGAGGTCTAAAATCCCTTCGCATCACATGAGAAGCAATCTAGTCTCTCCCATAAGTCTGGCCAATCCTCACGGAACGTGCCCGGCACTCGCGCCTGGGAGACCATCATCCAAGGACCTGTCCACGATATTTGTCGATCATTGCAGGAGACATCATTCGCCACCTCCTTTATTACAAGGGTCCAAAATGTGGCATTCTCGCTTAAACCCGTGTACACACATCATCCACCTGTCAATCATCGCACATATGCATGGAAACAGGGGTTGCGAGGCAGACGGATCCGGCCAGGTGATTAGAACCAACTTACCTGCAGACTGAGCGTAAGCGCAGTGCTGAGAAGCGAGTTTTCACACCAAGATCTATGATGGCTTCCATATATCCGTTTTGCCTCGTACCGTAGCATTGTTCAGGGCCCGCATCGACCCGATATAGAGTTAGATTTCCGTTTTGATCTCATCTTGAGCATGTCGTGTAGTAAGGGCGTCGTGTCACAGGTCCCTGAAGAGCAGGTGCACTTGAGACTCGCGCTTCTGAGGGCATCTCAGTGTAGTCTATAATTCTGGTTATTGGGAGCAGGGGTACGGAGTCGACCGCTTGAACTAACTGTCCATCAGAGGGATTTGACGACTAGGTACTTCTCTATCAATAACCGAGCGTGCGCTTGAAGCATGAAGCTTTCGCTCACCTACAGCGCAGGTGATCCCAATTGTTTCAGTTGCGTATGAACTGTTTATTCCCGGTCTCCAAAACCTGGTCATAGGTGCTGTCAACTTGTATTAGTCGTCTACAGTCCGCGATCTGCGCCTATTTGCAGAAAGTGGCGAACGCTAGTCAGCCTTACCATAGCCGTTGGGATTTCCTGATTGCCAACGCCAGGTATCGGCGCACGTCTCCTCGACCCCAAGTTTGGCTTCCCATCCGAGAAATTCTCTAGCAAACTTGGGATCTGCATACAAAATGGAGACATCTCCCTCTCTCCGAGGAGCTTCCTTGTGCTGGAGCTCCCTTCCACAGGCCTTCGACATGCCCTTGAGCATGTCCAGGACAGAGAAACCCTTACCCGTGCCCAGGTTGACTGAAACGCAACCAGGCTTCTGCGGGATTTTATCAAGCGCGGCGACATGTCCCTTGGCCAGATCGACAACGTGGATATAGTCGCGAACACCAGTACCATCGGGGGTGGGATAGTCCATGCCAAAGACGGTGAGATGCTCCCTGCGACCGACGGCGACCTAAGCGACGTAGGGCATGAGATTGTTGGGGATGCCAGTGGGATCCTCCCCGATCTGACCGGAAGCGTGGGCGCCGCACGGGTTAAAGTTGCGGAGGATGAGGATGTTCCACTCCGAGTGATGTTGCCGACGCGGATGAGCGACTCCTCGGACGAGTTATCAAGGTTGTCCACGACAACGACCTTGTGGCCGGATTGCACGAGCTCGAGGACGGTATGCGAGCCGATATAGCCGGCACCGCCTGTGACGAGGATGATATTTTCGCTCATGGTGGGGAGTTGGAGTACGGGGATGGGGGCCGAAGGTGGGGCCGGGAGTGGGGGCGGGGGGTGGGGAGACAGGGCGGAGCGGTGGTAAGGTGCATAGTAAAAAGAGCTTGGTCGATGGCAACGGGCCCTTGCTGGCCGCAACTCTGCAGGTGTGACTCAAGGAAGTACCGCGCTTCCCGTACTCCTTTCAGAAAACGCTACAGTGAAAGGTCTTTTGCCAAGTCTCCCCATATGAAGCTTACACTTTTGTAGAGCATTGCTCGCGAAAAAGTAGGTTCACATGGGTCATATTTCGCTTCGATCACCTCTGCTTGGGTGTAGAAGTGTAGATTATCTACATATGATATGAACGATAAACATAATCCTTTCGTCAGAGTTGGTTCAATGCTTTATGTCATGTCTATTCATATCTATCGTCATGGCTATCAGCTACGTCTTCACTGCCGTTTACAGGACCAGTGTGCAGCGCAATTTTCGCCTTCATGTCCGCAAGCTTCGTCTTCCGATACATTCGCATCAGCTCCAAGCGGTCCCTGATGTCCTCTGCGGTCTCGCCGAGAAGAGCAGTACCATAAGCTAGAAGCATGTTTGTATCTGAGAGCATCGCAGTACGTACTCTCGCGTCAGCGGCCTTGATTTCCATAGAAGCGGCTATCCTCTTGTCAATTGCCGTTCGCTGTTGCTCTTGCAGCTGATTTGATCGGACATCCTTTGCCGCCTTGCGCCCAATTGGCGCAGTTAAATCTCGTTTGCGCTTCCTTCCTGTGCTTCCCCCGCGATCACTCTCTGCCCTTTCAATACCATCAGCGTTCCCGAGCACACCGCCACCGTCCGTACCTTCCTCAACCGCTTCGCCGCGTCGTCTGCTGCAGCCACTGCCTTTTTCCGCCTCCAATACGTTGTCGCAATCACGCCTGACATTCGACGTAATCGAAGAATTCGTACCTACGCGACTCGGCCCGCTGTCAAGGGAAGGTAGACTAGGGGAAGAGTTGAACACTTCCGGGGTGCTGTCCGCTGCCGTTCCTTCAATACAAAACTTTGGCGACTCTTGTAGCACCACAAAGGAGTCGTACATTGGCCATTGCTCACGCGGAAGGTCGTCAATAAACCTGTATTCCATTTTGTCAGTCCGCCCCAAGTGGATGGCACAAGCCATCGCATGTATTTGTGTTCGCTTGACGGATCCTGCTGGCTTGGATGCATACACGCGTCGCAGCGCAACGCTGTATCGCTGTACCTGTTTCGAAACTTCTGCAAACTGCTTCTTGATTAGCTTGAAGTCGTACTCGCATTTTTCATCTTCGTTGATGCCGAGTCTGGAGATGTAACGACCATGCGAGTCGGCGTTGCGCGAGTTCAGCAGTACAAACTTGTCCGCTGTAGTCCTCCAAAAGCGTGAACCTGTCTGATCCACGCCCGCAATGGGATCATTCATTGCAAAGAGCCACGCCTCGCAAAAATGAGCGCATTCAATTGACGTCCAATTGCGCCCGCGGCCCATGATACTTGATCGAGATCGCGCACCTCTCTATGCGTGGTATACTGTGACAGATAGTACTTGATGATGCGCTTTGACCACACTACAAGAGGACTCGAAAGGCTGATATATGAATACCATGGCGCGACGCCATGGTATTCATATATAAGCCTTTCGTGGCGTCGCGCCATGGTGTTGGCGCACTTCGATACGCCTGGATGAAAGCGCGCGACACGCCTGCAGAAGAGTTTTGGTTCGCCTTCCCGCGAAGAGTGTACACAGTTGGCTGGAATTCGGCTGACACGCCTGGCACGTGGCATTCTATCGGGGAATCTATTCATCGAATAGAACGTTTTTGGAATCTATCGGCGCTCGGATAGATTCCGAAATGATTCTATTCGATTTTGGAAAGCGATAGAATTGCGCGGTGGGGTTGAAAATCGTGACGGGAAATTCTATTGATCAAATAGATGTGCGCGGTGGGGTTGCTCTTACACTGTGTGTGGGTGTACACTGTACACCTCTTACATCGATCACCGCAGAAGAAGGAGGAATACGTGTACACACGTGTGCCGGGCACAACATACGTGTCATGCCTGCTTCACGGCCTTACCTTCCCGGCCTCCTCCCGAGTAGCGGGAGAGAAAGAGGCAGAGGAGAGGAGAGGAGGGACGAGCGTTTGGCGCCCCGCTGGTGAGGTGCCTCGACTGCACGAGCACCCACCATTGCGAGACATCAACTCGGCGGAAGGGATGATGAACGTTAAATGCTCTTTACTTTCCCCATCCCAATCGCGTATTTCGTGAGAAATCCCGCATTGTGGGCGCGCTTCGCGCTCCGCGTACGAGCGGCCACTGGCGCCGGGCCTTGGCAATTGGAAGCGCACATGCGCGCGGCACGCGGCGGAAGTCTGTCGCGGAAACGAGATGCGGAACGGGAGCGTCTGTCCGCGGGGGGCCGTGTCTACAGGTGACGTGGTCCACAGCGACGTGGTCCACAGCGACGTGGTCCACAGCGACGTGGTCAGCCACTTTGTGTCATCCGGGGGGAGAATCTGGGAGATTACAAATGATCACTTACACTGCCGAGAGGCATTGTGAGCCAATCACCGATGACGGCGGCGGCCGTGGCGCCAGCTCATTGGGTGGTTGGCCTCCGCCAAATTACAGCCCACAGGCCGGGCTCAAGGGCAGCTTCCCCCGCGCGCTCTGCCGCGCGCGGGCGCAATGAGAGCGACGAATGAGGCCGGGCTGCAGGCGTGGATTGTGTGAGCTGGTGTTTGGGGGTGTTGCTGTTCGTCTACTTTTTGGCTCCGTCTTCCTTTTTTCCCCCCCCTCACTAAACCGTGGAGCCTCCCCTTTTATCGCCGTCCCAGGGCGTCTAGAAGGCTCCAGAACTCATTACTAGTTTTCAACTAAATTCGAATTGTAATTCTAAAATCAAAATTTGTAGTCACATTAAAATCCGGCCACACGGCCCCCTTCTCAGGCCGGGCCGCGGCACCGATGGCCACCATTATTTTTCAAATTATTAGGCTTCCAGCTCGCCTAATCTGAGTGTTCTGAGTGTTGCACTGCTAAAGTTTTACATAAAGGCGCGCCGCCCTGCACCGCGCACCCTTTGACACCTTGCTCCTCGTTTGTGCGAAAGGCAACAGTCCTCGAAGTTTGTGTACACCTGGTAGCCACTTACCCGTCATCCCTAGTATGTCGTCGGGGGTCAGTCTGCTAACCTGGGCCGACGTAACTGGCTCCGGGCTGGTCCCGCGGTTCCCGGCTTACCTTTCCCCCTGGGTCCCTTATTCTTGTTCCTTGTGGCTGTACGGCCTCCTAGCAGTTGCGATTCGGCGGGAATGTCCGGGAACATTCCGCCGGCGCCTTCCTCCAAGTGCCAGATGCCGTGCGTACTATCGCATGATAGGCTTCTCCCATCCCGGGTAGTCAACATCCTTCCCTTGGCAAAAACAGTTCTTCCTCTAACGTCACCTAGTGTCAGCGTCCCCAGGCTTACTCCTCTGGGGTCCGTCTGCCTGTTGGGGCAATAGCACCCGGTGTCCGCATTGACCCTCAGCACCGTCATCCCACAGTCTATGGTGAGCAGCACGGCGTCCATGGTCACACCGGCCAGCCTGGCTAACCTGGCTAAGTCAACTTGCTCGGACCGGAGTAGACCCATGGCCTTGTCTATTCTCTCACCAGTCTTATACAGCCCTATTTTTCCGATTGAGTATCGCACCCTCTCTTCCACGCCTACCCACTTTTCCAGTTCAGGTGGGCGCGTTATCGTCGTCCCCACCACTCGGTCGGTCTCCGGGCTGTGACCCGACACTAGTAGTTCGGTTCCGACGTCGTAACCCGCTTCTAGATACGTAACTCCCGACGCCTGAGCGGCCCTCAGTAAGGCGTCGTCCGTCCTCACTCCAATGAAGTCAAGCCGGCCCGCCACTCTCTCAGGAACGCCCAACACGATATGCCTGGGCCCTTGTAAGTCCACGAGCCTGCTAGCCCTCACTTCTGATCCGTCTCCGAACCTCATCTTCCGCAGCTTCCCTATCGGGTTAGTCCTCGGGCACCCTCCCCGGTCTTCTCGGGTGTACGGTCCACTGGCGGGTGATACGCGTACCCACGAGGTCTCGGTCAAGGCACCTGACACTCTCCCTTTCACGATGTCTCTCATATCCGTAATAGGCAATACATGTAAATCTTCCCTGGTAGTGATGTCCACTGGTCCTTGGATAATAGGTAGCACCAACTCCGTGTCCAGCCTAACTCTGCTCCCGGAGGGGGGTCCACCTTCCCGTATGCTGGGGCCGAGCCCTGTCTCTAGGGTCACGCTCCCTTCCGACACTAGCCGACCTAAGTGGAACAACATATCCAACTGCTCCTCTAGCAGTAGACCGTCTGTCCTCCCGTGGGGGGTAATCCTGAAGTAGCTGCAGGGCATCTCGCTAGCCATCCGCAAGCGTATGCTCCTCCAGCCCGAGCGGCGTACACACAACCTCCCGTCTTCTAACCCCAATGTCAGTCCTCTAGCCCAGGGTTTGCTGCCCCTGCTAGGTCTATCTGCACTGACACTTATTGTCTGTGCCCCTGGCTGGATTCTTGCCCCACTGTCGCGTGGCGTGCGGTGTGAAGTATCTGAGCACGAGTAGTGGTGTGTACACGACCAGCACACTCTGCAAGATATCCACCTTGTGCAGCCCTTCACGTGGCACGGGCATACACAGTCGTCGTCGTCTTCTCCACATCTCGGGCACGTTGGCATTGGTACGCGCTCGGTGACAGCTCGGTGCCGCCGGTCGTAGTTGCTGCGTCAAAAGTTTTGACGCCGGTTTTGACTCAAAACCGGGGCACTCTCCATGGTCGTGGCGGTAGTCTCTGTAAATCTCCTCGCCGCGGCACGGTAAAATTGAACGATATCATCAGGTAGTGTTTGTACTGTACCTAAAGTTGTCTTCCCACACGTGTGGCCGGGTTTTAATGTGACTACAAATTTTGATTTTAGAATTACAATTCGAATTTAGTTGAAAATTAGTAATGAGTTCTGGAGCTTTCTAGTGTCTAGGTGACAAATGGCCTCATATGAGGCCAGTTTTTAGGCGGGCTTTTGCAATTCAAATAATTGTAGAAATTTATCGCTACTGTAGTGAAAAGCTTTCGACTAGAGTACTAAACGTTGGCAAACCAGAAAACATTTAATTCCGTATCTCAGTCTTCTCTAATCAACACTTTCGTCTTCCTCTTCCCTAAATTTCTTCAAAATGGTGAGCGTCAATGATCCTCGAATTATTGCAGGTAACCGCGTCCACACTCGTGCAAGACTGCTCACCGCTCAGAGTAAATGTCGTCGCATGTATGGAGCCTCCTGGAAGATCAAGTTGGTCACGGGAACTGTCATTGGCATGAAAACTGACAAAGTGAAGGGTCGCAGTGTCACTTCAGTCAGGGCTAAATGGGAATTATCAGATGGCGTCAAGGAGGTCACGCTTCGCATAGCTAACATCAAGGCTGGTGAAGTGATGGGCCTGATCGATGACGGTCCTGAAGATCATATCCATCAAGAAACTGAACATTATGCACAACCGGAGCCTACAGAGGACCGCGTGACGCCACTGGAAGGAGCACTCAGCCGGAGCACGAAAATCTCCGAGAGTGACGAAATGGATTCCCAAGATGGCCTCATGAATGTCCACGGCCGGGCCTGGAAGCGTGAGGAAGTCAAGATGCGTTTAAATGATATGGTACCGCCGAGAAGATGGAAGGTGATTGGACCGATCGATGAGATTATATCCCGTGGTCACAGTCCATCTCAAATGCATCCCATGGACTACTTCATGTGGATTTTCCCACAGGAGCACTTGGCATTAATGGTTTCCTACACCAACGATGCAATGGAATCAAGGGGACTTCGCTTGACCCTAAGAGGTGAAATTTTGAAGTTTTTCAGGGTGCCAATCCTTATGACTCGGATTGAATTCAGCACCAGAAGGTCTCTTTGGAGCTCACAGGAAACCAGCAAATATCTCCCGCAACCTCAATTCGGAAACATTATCTCCCGCAAAAGATTCGAGGAGCTTCGTCAGAATGTCACGTTCAGCTTTCCAGCTGACTCAAATGACAGATGGGGTATTATCAGAGACTTCATGGTCGCAATCAACGATCACAGAGCATCACATGTGATTCCATCACAGAACATCTGCGTTGATGAGAGTATGTCACGCTGGTATGGACTTGGAGGAGATTGGATTGAAACCGGTCTTCCTCATTATGTGGCCATGGACCGAAAACCCGAGAATGGCTGTGAGTTGAAGACTGCTGCATGTGGAAAAAGTGGAATCATAATAAGAATTGAGAACGTCGTCTCAGCTGAGGAGACTTCTTTAAAGGATTTTGAAAGTGACCACTTACACGGAACCGCAGTGACTTTGAGGTTGTTACAGCCATGGTTTCACACCAATCTTGTTGTCAGCCCGGATTCGTACTTTGCTTCTGTCCACACGGCTGAATCACTTTATGAGAAAGGTCTTAGATTCACAGGTGTAGTGAAGACATCTACCAAGAAATATCCGATGAAATATCTATCTCATCTGGAGATTGCTGAAAACGAAGAGCACGTCACACTAGTTTCGAAGCCGGTGGCCGGGCCTCATCTCATGGCAGTGATGTGGGTAAACCGAGACCGCAGATACTTTATTAGTTCTGTCGGAACATCCAACGAAGGAACTCCAATCTATTGCGAGAGATGGCGTACACGTCATGGCGTGACAAGAAAAGAGGAATTGTCTATCCGTATTCCCTCAGTCTGTGAGCAGTATTATGAAACTTGCTCTCAGATTGACCGCCACAACGGATCTCGTCAGGATGATCTCGGCTTGGAAAAGAAGTTCGAAGTCAAGGAGTGGTCTATGCGTGTCAAAACTTCTTTATTGGCCATTTGCATTGTGGATGCATGGAAACTGTATGCAGGTGCAAAAGGAGATGGTTCTAAGATGTCTCCAAATCAGTTTTATTGTGCGCTTGCTGACCAGTTGATTGATAACAAGTATGATCGTATATCGTTACGTCAGCGAAAATCAGACAGTGCTGTTGAAGATGAAGATGTTGGGTTTGGCAGTGGAATTGGTACTCACCTAACTCCAACCACTCGCAAGCGGACAAGCGCATCCGGCGAGGAGACTTGTGCTCTTTATCAATCCAGATGCAATATTTGCAAAGGTACAAAGAAGTCAACGTTTATTTGCTCAGCCTGCAAGTTATATTTTGACAAAGAAGTATACCATCACCAGACTAGGCGTGACTGTTTTAAGAAACATGTCAACGAACGTCACGATCTTACTTACAAAGGTAAGTACTACTAGTGCTTAAATCGTTCTCGGCCATTAAAACTGACTAAATGGGTCAGCATTTGAGTAAAATAGAGCAAAAAGAGATAAAAAACTCCTTTTGTTCCCTATGGTTCTATCCTGCGTCTAAAGACTTGCTTGGAAGACCTGCAGCCGTGTCGGAATGCCCCTTTATGAGATGTCACCGTATTCAATCTCATGTTCGAATGGGCGCTATTAAGCGTCCTGGGCTGCAGGTCACGAACAAGAACCATGGAGATCCCCGAAGGGATTTTTCGACCACTAAAGTGCTCAGCGAGGAGTTGAACCCCGGCCTCTAAGACTCAGCGATCCTTGCAGACCACTGAGCTGGCTTTTCAGTTACCAACTAGTCGTTTATAGTTGTCTTTATAGTCGTTCAAAGTTCTACTTCGTAAAAATTGTGCTCCTTTTGTTCTATACTTGCGAAAATCTTAAATTTTGTTTAAATTTTACTGTAGAGCATTTGACCTCATATGAGGTCAAGGGTGACCTCATATGAGGCAAATTGCCGGTCGTCTAGACACTAGACGCCCTGGGACGGCGATAAAAGGAGAGGCTCTGCGGGTTGGTGAGGGTGGGGGGGGGGGGGGGGGGAAAGGAAGGCGGAGCCAAAAAGTAAACGAACAACAACACCCCTAAACACCAGCTCAAGGTCTTCTTTAAGACAGCATGGACAGCCATGTTTGGATGTATGCGTCCGTGTACACGTGTGTGTATGGGGGTGAAGACTCAGCCGGAAAGTAGCGAGCGTCTCTATCAGTATGCCGAGCGTCGCCGGGCGGTGCAACCCAGAGCTGTACTCTACTTGAGCTCGCGGGGCCGCACCGCCCACCGCCCACCCCTCGGCATGTCTATTTCTCTCCCACCCCCCCGCTCTTGATCTCGTCGCTCGCCGAGTCTTTCTCACATGTCTACTTCTTTGTTTTGTTTCTTTATGTTGTTTCTATGTTGTTTCTACTTCTAGTTTGTAGGTTTTGACCCGACAGTTTCTATGACTACAGTATCGTAGCGTATTCCCTTGCGGACGTCCTTTGCCAGGTAAAATTACCAAACTCTTCATGTTCGCGATTTTGAGACGGTGGCCCAACCCTCTCTTTGAGATTTCACAAAAAACGTCTGTAAGTCATAGTGACGAAAAACTTTCTACAGTACAACTAGGCACAAGGTTATGACACATTTCTCAAAATCTAGAGTGTGCCACCGTCTCGCTCCTCAACCTTGTCCTGAAACGCGTGTGCGCAAATTTGCTCCCCTGACTGACGAGCACTAGTTTTGCTCAATGACGACGAAGGGCTCTCCGGGCGAAACGCAAAGCCGACCGGGACATGCCTGAGCAGGCATGCCTCCCTCATCTGCGCTGCTGCTGATGCGTCTCCGCCAAGGAAGTAATCGCAGCCGCTCCCTCACCTTCCGCAGGATGTCCTCCTTCACATTTTCGACCTCATGACCCCCGCTCAAACCACCCCCTTCTGCCAGCTGTGCACCACCACCGCAGCAGCTGCCGCAGACCCGTCCATCTGCGCCTCGCTCGCGCGCCGTCATCTCGGCATCGCCCCCGCCCAGCACGCGCTTTCCGCCGCCACCCTCGTGTCCCGCTGGTGGTTTGCCACCGACGCCTTCGCCCCGGGCGTCCCCGTCCACTTCCGCAAGGGCTTCACCGAGATCCACGCCCGCGGCAGCGTCGAGCGCGACGTCGCCGAGGGCTCCGTCGCCGCCTACGTCTTCGCCGGCCGCCACAAGGACGCGGCCGCCCCCGTCCCCGTCCCCGCCGTCACCATGCACTCCTTCCTCGAGGCCGCGGGCCCGTTCCCCATGGAGGGCATGCCTCTGCGCCTCATCCACGTCTCCGAGCCCGCACCGCGCGATCCGCCCGCCTTCCCGCCGTCGGCCCCACCCCCGCCCGGCGCGCCCGATGCGCGCGCGTGCTCGTCGTCGCCAACGGCCCGACACGGCTCGCGTGTGCCGTGCCCAGCGGCGACCGCCTGCGCGTGCTGGACGTGCACGTGCCGCCGAAGCTGCTGCTGACGAAGCCTCGGCTGAACACGATGGCCGTGGAGTACGACCGCGCGTCGCGCGCCGCGTACTGGCTCAAGTCTGTCGACGTCGTGCCGTGCACCTTGCCGCTGCGGCCGATCGCCGACGACGCGCGGCGCTTCGCGCCGCACGTGCCGGACATGACGCCCCCGCGCCCGTGGGCACACGTCGAGGTCGAGGACACGGATAGCGAGAGGGGAGGTAGGGACTTGATGCTGTTGTAAAATATATCGCTCTCTCTTGCTAGGATGTTGCGCGGTTGTTCTGAGAGCGGGCGATGCTGGCGGGAGCTGGAGGATGGGAGCTGGAGAATGGGAGCTGGAGAATGGGAGCTGGAGAATGGGAGCTGGAGAATGGAGGATGTGATGTTGGAGCGGGAACGCGGAAGACTGAGATACGCTTGCTGGTGGAGGATGCTAAAGTTTACCTCACCGCCGCCGCTATTTCAATGGCATACAGATCACGGAGTCGACATTCTAGAGTGAATTGAGGCCGCCTTGTTGGATCACATGGTTGGATCTCGAGATCATCTTCAACGTCTTCTGTCCACAAAGAGGCCACTCGCTATTAATGACGCCATGTGGCGCCTCTTAGGCCTCTTTGCGCCTGATTCTACCTTGACGGCATGCCGTGCACCAAGAGGGACAAACAGCAACCGGACATACTTGTGGACTCCACAAACCCTGCCTCCCCCTTCTTCCGCTGGCAAAACGCACTCTACCCTTTCCCTACCGAACAAAATCAACTGTTTTCACAGCAAGAGTGATCGCAAAGGCCTACCGCAAAAGCCAACCGCCCCCCGAGACTTGTCGACCATATACTCCTTCACATCACATCTTTTTCCTTGTCGCCAACTAGCCATCCAGAACAATGGTGCTGGGCCATCTCGAAAACAACTACTGGATCGTCCTGTTGGCCTATGTCGCGGCCTTCCTGCCGTGGACCGCCCTGAACGCCTGCGACTTTATCTCGCCGGCGTGGCGCAAGGCCCGCAACGTACGTGTCGCGGGATACACCAACCTGGCCCTTACCGGTATCCCGGCTCTCTACATCATATTTTACATTGTCATTCAAACTGAGGACGATCCCAAAGAAGTGTTCACGGCGGCCGTCGCGTTACTTTTTGCGCTGCTACACTTCTTGCAGACCGCGTGGGGCTTGTGGCAGCTGCATGTGTTTGTGGCGTGGGCTTCCAATAGTATTAAAGCTTTGCGGGCGCTGGGGATTGATTATGAGTTGATGAATGCCGAAGAGAACAAAGCCAAGCGTAGGCGAGGAAGGGGCAAGAACGAAGGCCTGGACGAATCGGAGGTCCTGTCTGCGGATGAGATGGCGGATGAGCCGGAGGTCCTGTCTGCGGATAAGATGGCGGATGAGCTGCTAGTCAGCGACGAACTCATTGAGAATCGCCTTTTTCATGGAAAAGCCCGTTGTTACCTGCAGTTCGAGGACATTGATATCAAGACGGACTCATCGCATAGCAACATTTTTCTCCAGCGCATAATGTTACTGCCGCGTATACTGTCCATATCAATCCGATACGTGTATCAAACAGTTTTGCGGCGGTGCTTTGTGGGAGAGAGTGTGCCGAAAGTGCGTCAGGTGCCTCACAAACCGGAGGAGGTCTGGCTGCGGTGGTCGGTAGCGTTTGCTGCTCAAGGGCTGGGAGGGTGGATGAAGGAGTTTCGAGTTGCGGCAAAAGGGGACGAAGATTTGTCGGGTTTGAACAATATGCAGCAGTACGAGAATCGACGGGACTACGTGGCGAGCCGAGTGCTGGCCACGGCTGGATTAGAGCTGTGCCTAGGACGTTGCGTACCGCTGGGTGAGGACTCAGCTGTGTCGAAGACGGAACGATTGCGAAAAGTGGCCGAGTCAGGCTGCGGTTTGCCGTTTGATGCAAGACAGGTAAATGTGATAAAGTCAGTTGAAAAGGGGTACAGGCCGTACGCTCGGATACTATCGGGGATCATTCAGGAGATGCCGGTTTGGTTTGGGACAGAAATGGAGGGGTTTGATATCGAGAGAGTGGAGTGGCTGGCGATCTTGCTGAACATGGGGGGTGAAGTTCTGTCAAAGAAGGAGGCCCAGAACACCAAGCGGGAGGAAAGAGAGTTCGAGCCGTTGCCGCACAATGATTTTGCAATGGAGAATCTGCGGGAGCAGCTGGGGATCAGGGAGAAGTTTGCTGAAACAAGGTGCCGAAGGAGTCGAGCGTGATGCAATGCGATCTATAGAGCTGTATGAGGGCGCTATCGAGAAGGGTGACCACGTCGGTGCCATGGTGGGCCTCGGTGTTTTGTTCTCAGAAGGTGCCGAAGGAGTAGAGCGTAACGCGGTTCGATCTATGGAGCTGTATGAGCGGGCTATCGTGGAGGGTGACGACGTCGATGCCATGGTGAACCTCGGTGTTTTGCTCTCAGAAGGTGCCGAAGGAGTAGAGCGTGACGCGGTGCGGTCTATGGAGCTGTATGAGCGTGCTATCGAGAAGGGCGAGGACGTCGATGCCATGGTGAACCTCGGTGTTTTGCTCTCAGAAGGTGCCGAAGGAGTAGAGCGTGACGCGGTGCGGTCTATGGAGCTGTATGAGCGTGCTATCGAGAAGGGCGAGGACGTCGATGCTATGGTGAACCTCGGTGTTTTGCTCTCAGAAGGTGCCGAAGGAGTAGCGTGACGCGGTGCGCGGCGTGGCATTGTATGATCGCGCAATGGCGAAAGGAAATTCCGGTAACGCGACTTGCTATCTTGCGATGACGTTGAGGGACGGAGCGGAAGGGGTGGAGCGCAATGCGGTGCGTGCGGTGGAGCTGTTTGAGATGGACATCAAGGCACGGAAGCAGAGCAGGTCAATGGTGTGTCTTGGAAACATGATGCGGGACGGGGCAGACGGGGTGGCCCGCGACACGGATCGGGCGATACAGTTGTACGAGATGGCGGTCGAGGAAGACAACAACGCGGAGGCGGTAGCCTAACTTGCGGCGTTGCAGCGGGACAGATGAGACGGCAGTACGCGGGACGAGGCTGAGTGAGAAGTTCTCACTCACCCTCGCCGTCACCCACGCCGCCTTCTCACCGAAGAAGGCGGGGGGCGGCATGGAAGGCGAGGGCAGTGGCGGGGGAGGTACAGTACCACATGCCACATGGATAGGCGGCGTAATGTACACATTTTTGGTGTAATTGTTTTGGGTGTAATTATTATTATTATATATGACAACATTAACACGTGTACAGTAGTGCATTCGTCATCGCCGCGATGGCCTTCTCCTTCTGCCGGAGAGGACGACAGGCAAAAGGGAGGACGACGGAGCGGGACGGCAGAGTTGCAGGCGAGTCTCCGACACCGGTGGCCAACGTCGACTCGGTGCTAATCGAAAACACTCGTCTGTACGCTACAGACGTAACGATACTCGGTTTCCATTAAAGGCAGAGTAGCCGACTTTCCTTCCCCGAATCTACAGTATGTATCGGTCGCCCAGTTTAGCCCATCCCTCAGTCGGCCTCCGACAGCTCCGTCTGCATGGCTCCGTGGCTCACCGCCTGCCGCATCGCTTTCGCCGTCTCGCCGCCGACCCGGCGCGCGCGTCACGTGCTGCGATCCGCATGCCGGGGCGCGGCCGTTGCGGCGCGTGGCGCTGCGCGGCTGCGCGACGCAGCAAGACATCACCCCCGCGCACGCAGTGCTGCGCCGCGCCGCCCACTCGCAGGGCCTGGACGTGGCGCGACTCAAAACCCTCGTGCGGCTCACGGATCTGCTGCTGAGTGAGAGCAAGCGGTACAACCTCACGGCGATCCGCACGCGCGATGCCGTGCTGCTCAAGCACGTCGTGGATGCGCTTAGCCTGCTAGCGGCGCTGGACGCGGAGGCTGCGGCCGCTGCCATCGGCCTGCGTGTCGTCGATTTCGGCACGGGCGCGGGGTTCCCGCGGCTCGTCCTGGTTATCGTGAGGCCGCAGTGGGACGTCACGCTGCTCGAGGCCGCGCGCAAGAAGACGCGCTTCCACGACCTGGTGGGGCGCAAGCTGGTCCTGCCCAACGTCCCGTCCGTGTGGGGGAGGGCGGAAGAGGTCGGGCAGAGTAAGATTCATCGGGGACGCCATTAGAAGGCTGGGCGGGAAGCTGGAAGGTGTGCGCGAGGCGTGGCCGTAAGAGTGGATGGAAGGGCAGGGGGAAGAGGCGGAAGAGGTTGACGGAAGAGATTGACGGAAGGAAGAAGTGTATTGTGGCCGTGAGGAAGGTGAAGGCAACGCCACGGGCGTTTCCGAGGTTGCCGGGGGTGCCGAAGAAGACGCGTTTGTGAGGCCGCGAATAAGTTTGCGGGGAGAGAAAGGCGTCGGGAGAGCGGAGAGAGGAAAAGTGTCGGTTGAGAGATGTGGCAGGGAATAGGAGGGCGTGTGGGCCAGCCACCACCCGTGAGCTCGACAACCAACAGCGTGGAGGTTGCGTAAGACCGCCATCGGCAGCGCAATATGTGCGCCGCAGCGCTGGGTGTCTCGATATGGAAAAGCGCTAGTTTCCGGGAGTTGCGCAGACTGAGCAAATACATTGGCGCATCGCCGTTGAGGTGATGCGCGTCATCGCGCAGTTGCCGCAGGGCGCACATCCTTCTCAGCGACGTATTCGACCCGTCCGGCGAACGCCTCCGCGCCGTGCAGCCAGGGCATGCGCGGGAGCAGCGGGAGGACGACATAGCTGCCTGTCTCGATAGGGAGCGTATCTCGGAATGCTGTGGGGCCCAGCTCGCCGAAGACGCGCTGCAAACCGCGGAAGTTGAGCGGGCGCTGGTCGAACTCCGTGGCCCACTCGAGCAGGTTGAGGTAGTCTTCGCGGTACGAGGCGGCCAGGCCGTTGTACTCGCCGCGCACGACGCTCTGGCAGAGGCACCAGATGCGCTCGTACGGGCCGCGCAGCTCGGTGGGGCCCGGTTCGAGCCGCACAATGGCGCCCGCGCTGCGCAGCGCGTAGACGCAGAACACGCCGTACTGGCTGAGCTTCTCCTCCATGCGGAGCCACGTCCTGCTCCGGTAGTCGCGCCCCGTCGCCACGAGCAGGGCCGGCAGCAGCAGATACGGTGCCACGCCCACACTGAACCAGTCGATGTAGTCCGCCGCGGGCACGTCCCGCTGCGCCGCCGCCGCCGACACGCAGTCGATCCACAGCGAGTACGCGCGGAACCCCGCGCTCGCTGCGACCGCGCTCGCCACCGTCACCACATCCGTCCATAGCCTCGCCGATATGTTCCGCCCCTTCGGGCCTTCGTGTCGGTACGATAGCGAGAACACACCGATCGCCTCGCGCTCGACGCGCTTCAGCTCCGCGGCCGTGATGCGCGCGCCTGCGTCGCCGCTCAGAATGCGCGGCAGGAGGCCACCGGCGGTAGCAGGAGGCACCGCCGTCGCCATGGGCCGCGTCAGTCCCTGCGCGACAACAGTGTTCGTCGCGAGATGCGGGAGGTGAAGGTCACCGCACCATCGCTGAAGCGCTGCGCGTGAGTACAGCGCCTCCTCGTTGCTCCACAGCCTGGCGGTGCAGTAGTGCGTGAAGCCCTGTCTGTGGCTGGTCGTCACGTGCACGCCTGGGCGGTGGGGCGGGCCCGGGAACGGCGGCACTGGCGAGAGTTGTCTCAACTGAGACTGGACGGTACGGAGGTGGTAAGCTCGCGCCTGGGAGAGCGCCTGTTTCTCCTCCGTCGAGAGCTCGGAGAAGCTACCCACAGACATCCTGCGAGAAGCGCATCTTCTCTGCACGGTAGGGCCAGAAAACTTCCAGAAACGAGGTGCTGTAGTTTCGCGAGTTTGGTAATCGTTTTGGCCGAAACTGTGCAAATGTATGCCTTCTTCTTCTTTATTTGAGGGGTCAAGGTTAATTCCTCCTTAACCCGAAGAACCCTTTTAATTCAGACTCTCCTTCCCCCTGCCTCCTTATCATACGATGCATGCATGTGCCGGTAGAGAGGGCCGCAACTCGTGTAATTTGCCTAACGGTAGGCGTCAGCCACAGCTCAAGTTGGGTAACGAATTCGACTTTCGACGGCCTCGCCGACTTGGATCTTCTACCGCGTGCGAGTGACGTAAATTATGTTTAGCGTATGCGGAAGAGGCGGACAGGGGGTGTATTCGACGCCACCGGAGCGTGGCGAAGGGGAGAGGAGAGCTACGCCTGGGGGCACTGGTTGGGGCAGAGGAAGGGCGGGAGTTGGCAAAGAAAGGCGGCGACAGGAACGGGGAGAAAGGGCAGGTGTGGGGCGGGGCAGAGGACGACCGGGACGAAGGAGCACGCGAGGGAGTGAGGGATACCCGGCTTGTCCCAGGGTTATGGGAGGTTCCGCATATGTACTCCAACAACATCACCAAGTTCCTTTTCTGAATGGGACCTCAAACCGTGCCTCTAGATCCGTTGCACAGTTTTTTTTTTTTTTTTTTGTGCAGATGCACAGGGAAGAAAAACTGCCAGGTACGACTGCCCCGAGCCGCACAATGCGCTATCACGGGGACACACGTACTCCCCTTTGGCTTCCCCAGAGAACCTCGCGGCCACTTCTGTGCATCGGCCAATTCCCAACCAAAGATACACCCTGACTGATGTCGGCTACACGGTGACAGCGATTGTGCCAGCGATTGTGCCATTCACCCTTCTCCACTGGTCATATCACCTGAGTCAGCTTGGCCGCTTTTCTTGAAAAGTCGCCCTTTTCGTATTTCCCGAAGCCTTCACGCAATCGACGCACACATTTCACACCCAACATCACACCCAACTGTCAACCGGCGGCGTTTTAACCTCACGCGAGGGGCTTATGACACCTTTTGTGTTACCAGTCGAGGCATACTGTCCCTGGTAATATACCCTTCGTTAGTCAGAAACAGAATTGTCTCAAACTCACCTTGGTTACTGCCCAAACAGCTTGCCTCAGACGCAATGATCTTAATCTTGAGGACGACCAACAGCAAATGCATAGCGAATACGTGAGAGGCACGGGCGCTTGTCGGTGTGTTAAGCATGACCTGTCCCCCGAGGAGGCCTGGGCTATAAGGACCCGTGTGATTTACATCTTGCTCAGAGGAAGATTGTACTTGCGGAACTGGCATGGGGCGATGAAAGCCGATATTGCCTATGCGGAAATTGCGTCAGCGTCGTGCGGAGTCGATGGTGCGTTCGGAAAAACTGCTGTTGCTACGTAGCTGTAGCCACACTTGGCCTTCACCACGTCGAGGAACTGTCACTTGTTGACATACGAGCAGGCGGATATGGCCAATGCGAAGGCGGAAACGACCATAGCAGACCTAACGGCATGTCGTTTCCCCCACAAGCTAACTAGATTCGAAACCTTCTCCTCTGCTTCCGGCGAAGATGGAAGCTCAGATTCAAGTAAGGCGCGATTGGTTGGTGCTATGGCAAGAATGGTGAACGGGGCAAGCAAGGCGAACGGCACAGCGGCAGCACAGTACAATTGAGCCCTCAAGCGCGTTTCAGTGACTTGGGCACAGCACAATAGGGCAGGTACCAGAGCCATGCCCGCGGGCCTGAAGAATGCACCCTGAGGCGGGAATGACGCCCTCCACCGCGAAAGCTGCTCTCGCGGCGATAATTTGGCGCAGATTGGGACTTCGAGTATAGATATGTATGACAGGGCCCCAGCAGTGAGGCCTACAGTAGCGGTGACGGCGACTTCTAGGACGCGCGAGTATTGAGGGTCCATGACGGTGGCGAATTTACGGGAACGCAGTTGAAAAAGCCAAATGACCAACGGAGTGATATCGGTGTCAAGGAGTGAGTTTGGTAGCGTTTCACGGGCTGAAGTGGTTAGGGGTAGCTGAGCGCTGTCGATTTCTGTTAGTGCCTCGAGTGTGCGCAAGAACGATCCGGTTTGCGAGTGGTGCGCTGGGAGACGCAGAAACGCTGGGAGACGCAGAAACGCTGGGAGACGCAGAAAAAAAACCTGGCGCCCAATCTCAACATCAAGTTGCAGAAAAAAAACCTGCCGTTCAATCTCAACATCAAGTCATTTGCGGAGGTTAAATAACCTAACGTTTCATATTTTTGAAAACATTTCGATGTACAGTAGATGGTACCGGTCTGCGAGGCGATGTAACGAAAAATCTGGAAAATTTCCGTCCAGTTTCGCCTCTCAAGAGGTTCTATGTTCTGCAACCCTCTGCCGGCACCCAGGGACATTATTTGCAGAGAGAGAGAGAGAGCACTACCGCGTTGCACAGAAGAGTACACTCAGCGTCTCTATCTGACATGCAAGCAACTCTATAGCAATACCACATTCATCAGTGTGTTGCAGGAACGAATCTCTGATCCGGCTCCCTCTACACTGCGGGGTGCTCGGGTGCTGGCACCGCCAACTCTTTTCTCGGAACGGCCCTCTAGTGTCTATCTGACAATTTTTTAAGGGCCGTTCCGAGAAAAGAGTTGGCAGATAGACACTACCCAAGGGTAGACACTAGAGGGCCGTTCCGAAAGAAGAGTTCGAGTAAAGGGGGTTGCCGGTGTTGTCGGACAGTGACAAAAAGTTCGGACATGCAAAATATTTGTAAGAAACATCCTTGACACGGGCCAAAGTGCGGCACCGCCGCCTAACAGCGCCAGAAAGTGCGCTGTATCTCATAACGAAGTGGATGAAATTAAAAAACAAATATCCCAATCGATTGCGCACAGCGTTTTACGTATAGGAGTGTAACAGCCAGAGCACACAAAACAGGCGGACTTTTCAAATTCTCGTCCGGTATCCCTTCGACCTATTCCAACTCACTGTCAACTCAATTCACAGCATTCCGATATACACATAAACGCCAACTACTTCTAACTTCTATACCTGCCCTTCTGGACCACTTTTGGCATCTCGCGAATGAAAAATGCCGCCTGCTTCGCGTGAACAGCGCATTATGGCTGCAATGAAAATGGTCACAGATGGCCAAACCTACAGGCAAGCAGTAGAACGACACCAAATCCCCAGATCCACAATTGCAAGCCGCATACAAGCTGCCTCTCCCTCCTCGCAACGAATTCGAAAAATCCGAGCTGGTCTCCGCACACTCACATCAGTTGAGGAAGACCTTGTGCTTAATCTCATAACTCGCTCTGCTGAACGTGGATTACCTTTAACGCGGAGACTTGTCAAAGAAGCAATCGAAATTATCATAAGTCGTATGACTCCTGCACGTCGCCTCGTGCTCAAGTTTAAGGGAGGGACACCGGGAACAAGATATCTACGTAACTTTCATCGCGGCCACAGGGACAAGATACTGTTCTCCAAGCCACTGAGGGAAGAAGCCGTTCGATTTCATGCATGTAACGGTGACTCTTTAACAACACATTTTGCTCGTCTTGAAAAAATTATTCAAGAGCACAACATCGACAGCCCAAGGATCTGGAACTGTGACGAAACAGGCGCAGCACCCGGGCGAGATGCAAATGGAAAGCAGACTTCACGTGTATATGTCACCAGAGCGGGGGCGCGCGACGCCAAAATCGGACATTTTCTGAGCACAAGCAGGGTGACAATGCTTCCAGCGGTGAGCGCAGACGGTGAGACAGTGCCACCGATGTTTGTATTTAAAGGCTCGCGGCTTCCATACCGTGTTGTGGTTCAAGACGGCATGAAAGCTGTGCAGACATACGCTGATTGCTTGCCCCGAGGGTCAATCGTATCAATGAGGTCCGAAGGCGGTGGCGTCGATACAAAAAAATTCTTAGAATGGTGCAGGCATTTTATCTCGAACGTGAGGGATCTGACTAGAGGTGTCCGTAAAGTGTTGCTGATACTGGATGGGTATCGGTCACACATGTCTCTTGCAGCTCTTGAGATGTTGGACTATAATGATGTTATCGTTTATGCACTACCCGCCCACACATCAGGCAAAACACAACCTTTGGATGTGACAATTTCTTCTCCTTTGAAGGGTGCTTTGAACGACGCTATAAATTTAGCCGTGGCAAAGGATGAACAAAACAACTGGGACGCATTCGCATTTTCCAGCATGTTGAGGTACGCCTACAAAAAAGCGTTTACGAACAGTAATATTATCCCTGCGTTTCGCCGTTCTGGTATATGGCCATTAGATGCGCATCAGCTTCTATCTATTCCACGCCCTCAGAGCCATATGCACCAGGTGATGATGTCAGTGACGGAGCTGGAGCAATTGCTGGAAGTGCGGCGAACAGAAATACGTCATTCAGTTTTGGGTTCTGATGTGAACCTGAGTCATAGTGGTTTTGTTGATACGACTAGAGGTCAGATGCTGACATCATTTAATGCTATGAATTTAGCGAGAGAGAAATACCGCAATGATGAGCGGTGCAAGCTGACGGAAGCAGCAAACGCTGCAGAACTGTCTTTGCGGAAAGCTCGTCGCACAGAAAGGGCACAGGCGGAAGCAGTAAACTTTCGTAATGCGCGATGGGCGAAGCGAGCGGAACTTGCTGGCATGGCAATTGGGGTGTTTAAGAAGCGAGTGAGGTCGCTTCGAGAGCGGAGAGCCATCGCACGTCGTATGGTAATTATGAGGAAGCAGAAGACGTTTTGAAATGGGCACAATTTTTGAGCAAAGTGACGGGTTTGATGTGGGATCGGTGACGTGGCGAATAATTTTGTTTCCAAAAAATAATGTTGTATGAGGAAAATGTGCTTGCATTTCCGATCTTTGTGCTCGGTTGGGGCGCAAAAGTGTCTGCGTGCTTCAATCTCACTCCTCTTGTGTGTCCGTGGTTGTTTTGG